GTGCTTTTGTAAGTAAGCATTAATAAGAGAGAGCTGCATGCATTCTGTATTTTCAATACTTTTGACCTTGAAGAAGTCACTTTAATATCTGTACCTCAGTTTCCTTAAGTGTAAAATGGGAGTGTCCTCGGTACCTCCTTCCAGAGTCCAATGGCTTTAGTACCTCAATGCAATGAAACACATAGGGCTGTGCCTGGCCTGCAGAATGTGCTTAATAAATGTTAGCTATGGAGATGAGTTTGTTATCAGTCTCCTACTTGGATATGATGGACCATCTGGACCAAATTCAAGGGAGGTGGAGGCTGTGGTGGGTTATAGGCATGGGCTTAAATTATCTCAATTGTAGACGGGATGGGAGTCTTGCCAGACAGTGTTATCTGTGTCCTTCCACCTCTCAGCATTCTCTTCTAGGTCTGCCATCCCCACCCCACCACTTTCTTGTCTTTCTGGGCATGGCTTTCACCTGCCTCCATGGCCATCAATCAATGAAAGCTCTATTTTTCTAGCTTCTTGATCAGATAAAGGCAGAACCCCACTTCCAAAGCTCTGGGTATAAAAACGCTGGGGAAGAATAGTGATTGGCTTGCCTTCCATTACGTTGCTGCTCTTGAACCAATCACATGGCCAGAGTGATGAGGTCCCACAATTGTCTCAGCTTCAGTCAGGGGAAGGAAGTCTAATGTGGGACTCAGCTTTACACTTGAGCTGTTTGAGGTCCTATGCTTGGCGAGCTCAAATCATGTGAGCACTGTCCTACGATGTTAATCACATGCTTGAGGTCCTGTGATTGGTTTAACCTCAATCACTTGATTGTTTGTGGTCCTGTGATTCGCTCATCTCTAATCACAATGGCCAAAAGGATTTTTATATATGCTTGGCATGAAAGAAGTATTTCTTCAAAGAAAGTGGACAGATAGAAGAAATAAATGTCTATTACCGTCTAAAATTTAAAAAGCAGCCTGCATGTTTTCTGACACACAACAGATCCTGAGAAAATTAACCTTCACCCATTAGTCTTGTTCAATGAATGGCTCAGTTGCAGCCATATGACTGAGGTCCTAAACATCAGCGGAGCTTCAGTGCTGTGCTTACTCATAACATGCATTGGTACCTAACGGGGTAAGAACCCAGCAGGTGCTTTATAGTCTCTTTGTCCTTCCATGGCCAGAGAAGCAGACGATTACCATGCCAACAGCTCCCGGCTTCCTGAGAACGTCCACTCGAGGCCGTTTGCCTCCAGAACCTGGAAACTCCAAGGCAAATGTCACTTGAGAAGCAGTGCTCCCACCACTTAGTAATTAGTCCTTGATTGTTGTTTATTTGTGTGCTGTACTGTAACTCCCTCTGCCCGAGGCTGGTGCTGAAGCTTGGAAAATACAATTTCCTTCAAACTAATTTAGTTTTAAGAGGAAAATGAAAGTTTAAAGTAGTTTAATGTTTTGACGAAGCCATAATGGCTGGGGAAGATTGGCCGATGTGAACCAATAAAGCACCCTAATTCTGATAATAACTCAAGGCTTAACTCTTCCCCACATCAAACCTATCCTAGTGCTGACATGTGGCCCAGGACGGCCGGAGCCAGTGGACAATTGGGCAAGCATTCTTTTTCATTTATTTTAATTCATTAAAGAAACACAACCAAACAAACAACAGTGCCACATTTGTCTTGAGTCATAAGGACAAGGCCGTTAATGTCATTTGTCACCCTCTAGTTTCACCCAGGGTTGGTACATTTCCATTCCCACAGTTTCCTCAGACCTGGATTTCTCAGAATGAGCTCCAGGCTTGGGAAGTCTGCCTTGAAACTTTAGCTCACCTCCTGGAGCCTCAACTTCTTACCTGCAAGATGAAGAGGAGGAGAATAGCAAGAATGGCCAGGGAAGTTAGTCTCTCAGAAAGTGGGGCCCTGTCAGCAAGACCAAGGGGGAGAGACCAAGGTATGGGAGCCAGTGATCTGAGAACATAGCATCCATCCATTCAATGCGCTTGCGTACCTACTGTATACCACATTATTATGGGGTCTAAGGAGTCAGAACCTTGAAGCAAGGACTCAGGGATGTTCTCAATCTCCTCAGGGATTCAAGCAAGAAGAGATGTCAGTGTTTCCTTTCTCTAACACGGGAATAACCCTACACCCATTCTAATGGGAAGCTGAACAACCAGGAAAACACTTAGAAGAATTTTTGACACATAATAAACCCTCAATATATTTGGTGGCTTTTAAGACAGACAGGTCTGACACAAATGCTTCACATTTACAAGGGTAACCTAGCACCAAGAAGCATCCCAGATGGCATTCTTCTGAAAGTCTCTGCTTCATAGGCTGGAAGGACTTGGCCTCCAGAATGTCCTTTATCTATGACTCAGCCATTGATGGCAGTTTTGAGGGCCTGGGAATCTGTGTGCCTGAATCCTCACGACCCCCCCTTCGCCCCCCTGTATAATGGCCCTCAACTCCATCTTGTGGTAGAATCATGTGGAGCTGGCAGAGAGCAGTGGTAGACTGGCGTTTGTACACTTGAGAGAATCTTGGCTCTGCCATTTCTTAGTCATGTGGCTTTCATTATGTCACACAAATCCAGCTGAGACAAGACAACTTCTGCTGTCATCCCTCAGACACCATCCACTTTCTGTTTTGAGACAAGTTCTCTCATTGAAACGTACCAAGTAGGCTAGGCTGACTGGCCAGAGAGCCCCAGGGATCCTCCCCTGTCTCCACCTCCCCAGCGCTGGGATTCTAAGTGTGTTTTACCATACGTGGCTTTTTAAAAATATGGGTTCTGGAGCTTGAACTCAGGTCCTCAAGTTTGCAAGACAGGCACTTTAAAGAATAAGCCATTTTCCCAGTCCCCTTGTGCTTTAGCTTTACGTAAGAAATTCAAATGTTCCAGTGTTTGTTTATGGAGTTACTCAGGCATACTAACCCTTTTTTAAAATAAAAAAGCAGAATTTGGTTTTATAAAACTATATAATATTGTTTTCCATTTGCCTGTATACACAGAAGCACCAATATGCCATTTTTTTTTTTGAGAATTTCATATATGAGTATTGTCTTTGCATTGCTTCCATCCCTCCTAGGATCCCCTCCAACTCCTCCCACACCCCCACTCCCTCTTGTCCTCATCTTTGATTATTATTGTTACATATGCATACATACATTTATGAATACACACACTGAATCCATGCACTGGTGCTTGTGTGTACCTGTGTTTAGGGCTGCCCACTTGGGATTAGACAAGTATGCCAACTCTTAAGTTTCTTTCTTACCATTTCCCTGGAACCTCTTGCTTCGTGGTGGCTTTTCCCAGCAGACTTGAGTCCTAAAGTTTTAGATACTTTCATATGTACCTTTTGTTGCGTTTCTCTAATACTCATACAGAGAACAGTTGTAGGGAAGCCAGTGCAGACCCTTCTGGGCTGCCAGTCTCAAAGGGAAATCTCCAAGTCTGAAGTGGTTTTGGATTTTTTTTCATCATTGCATTCCTTTGTCCCCAGCTAATTGAGCTAGAGCACCTTGATTAAACAAACGTGCCTCCAGGCAATAGAGTTGCTCACCTCTGTAAACAAAGCTTTCCCAGGAGAAAGTGAAGCTGGAAGCTCAAAGGCTTCCAGTGCTAAAACTTCACCTTGCAGGCTCCATGTCTTGGCCATGGGAGTTTCACATCTCAAGACAAAGGTGAAGCTCGGATAAACAAGTTGGATGTCTTTTAAGGTTATTCTTGTGATTGAAGGGGAAGGGCTTAAGGAAGTGATTGTATAATTTCTCGGTTCATTTGATCTGTGACTCAGTTATGGCAAAGTAAAATGCGGCTAATACAATCTCCTAAGGTATTTGCTAGCTGAATGGTCCCTGCCTTGACTTATGTCTGGTTAGGTGACTGTATGAAAGGCTAGGTCTTATCACCTGTCTGGCTTTTGTAGCTTTGCCTCCTGTTACTTGACCTAACATATGCTGTGTGTCAGCATGTGCACACACAGACACACACAGGCATACAGACGCACAGACACTTTTATATGTGTTTAAAATAACCAAATTCCAGGAAACATCTTTCTCTGTATGCTTGTTTGCTACGTGTGAAAGCATTTCTATCTTAGATGTATTTTCTTCCTTCTTCCACCTGGAAAATTCCCATCTATTCTCCAAAGTCAGGCTCAACTTCCCTCTGTCCAGGCATATCTCCTCGCTTCCTTTATTACCTGGTCACAGTCCTGTGTTCATGTCCCCATGGTAAACCATACTTTTAGTTTTAGAAGGCATCTTCTCACACGTTTTCTTGCAATGTGGGCTAGAAATGCCTTTATCTTCCCAGAGATCTTGTGCACAGAGATCTCTACATTTGATATGAGAGAAGAGGGCAGAAATGAAGGAACTTTTGTGTTTTCCTTGGCACACATATGCTAAATTGGAACAATACAGAGATGATTGATTAGCATGGCTTATGTACAGGATGTGTGTTCAATGAATGCTTACAGTAGGAATGGGAAACCGTGACACATGTGTCCCAGCTATCCATGCCCTGCTCACAGCAGACATCATCAATTAATGTCTTATACCCAGGGTTTGTCTCAACCTAGAGCTCCAAAAGACATTCTCAATCACCTATGCGTTAATTTGTGACTAGAAAAGTATTTATTCACCATGCCTGAATTTCTGCTTGATGTTGCCCAACGTCTCTTTCTCAAACCACTTGTTTCAAGGACATTGTGAAACTCTGGGGATGGTGTTCAAGAGCCTGAACTTGAGGTGATTTGGGGACATGCTAAATACTGAGACAAACTAATCTAGCTGTCACCGACTTGAGTTACTCAAATGACTAAAGGCTGCATAATTTAGTGTTGCACACACTTTGAAAAATATTACAAGGAGGAGGAAGATTGTTCCGGCAGCATCCGTTCTCATTTTTCCACAAGTTCCTCAGCTTGAGATGGAATATTCCAGACTTCTGAGGAAACTCATCCCACGCTCAAGAACTCTGCCCTGAGAATTTCTTCATTATTTAAAAAATACGGAATGCTTCACAGACATGTGTGTTTTCCTGCACAGGGCCATCCTAATCATCTCTGTATCATTCCAGTTTTAGTATGTGTGCTGCAGAGAACATGAGCACACCTTCATTTTGGTCCTCTTATGTTAAATGTGGCAATCTTTTTCAACAATAATGAAAAAATTGAAACCTCGAAATTTCTTTAATATCCTCAGCTCTAGTCAGTGAAGATGTTTATTACAATAGAGTCAAGAAAAAGTTGGCTTTGGAGGGCGGCCAAACATGGAGAAATTCTGTGGCAAACATGTACCTATTTTCTGGAAGAGTGAACCCAAGGAGGATTCTGCCTGCTTCCTTTCCTGCCCTTCAGTGGGTTTGGGGTTTCTTTGCACAGAGCCTGAGATTCAATCCTGGTTCCCATCCCTGACACATCCTCTCACCTCTCACCCCAGGCCGTGCCCCATCACGGTTCCTGTTCAGCCTCTCCTTCAACTTCTACCCTCATCCCAACCTTTAACTCTAATGTGTTAGCTCAATTATCTTAAACAGCAAAGTGTTCTCTCTGGGTTGTGGAGAAAGAGTCACAAATGGATGATGGGTTGGCACGTTTCAGGCAGGCGATATGCTATGCCTGGATAAATGACAGGAAGAAGAGAGGGAGAAAATAGAACCTCAGGGTTGGGAAGATGGCTTAGTCGGTGACATGTTTACTGCACAAGTATGTGGAACTGAATTAGGATCCCCAGCATTCACCTTAAAGCTGGGTGTATTACATACATCTGTAACCCCAGTGTTGGCGATAGGGGCTGAGACAGGCAGATCCTGGGGTCTCACTAGTCAGCCAGTCTTGTTGAAACTCTAAGCTCAATGAGAGATCTGGTCTCAAAAAAGAGTAAGGTGGAAGGTGATTGAAAAAGACACCTGATGTTGATCTCTGGCTTCCACATATGTATGCATGGGTGAGTGTACTCCCTACCTCCATCCCTCACAAAACTCTAAACAAAACAGAATGAAAGAAAACAGAATCCTATTGTTGGACTGGCAAGATGGCTCAGTGAATAAAGTGCTTGTTACACAAGCCTGATGACCTGAGTTTGATCCCCTGAACCCATGGTGGATATAAAGAACTGACCTCCATACATGTGTTGTGGCACACATATGCTGGCACACACACACAGTTACACACACACACACACATACACACACACACACACACACACACACACACACACACATATATATATATATATATAGAGAGAGAGAGAGAGAGAGAGGAGAGAGAGAGAGAAAAAGAGAGAAACCCAGAATAGCAAATAGTTTGGGGTCTAGCTCAGCTATGAAACACTTGCCTAATATGCATGGAGGCCTGGGTTTGATCCCAGCACTATAAAAACAATAAATAAATAAATAAATTTTAAGTGTAATCTAAATAAAAAAGAGAAATACTCAGAATAGTCAAATCCATGGAGATAGAATTGTGTGTATTGCTAAGGATGGTAGGAAGAGGGGACGTGGGGAATACATGATGGGAGACACAGGTCAAAAATGTTTTGGGGTTAATAATGAGTGATAGCTGCATGACTTTATTAATACACCAAAATCCAATGAACTGTAATCTTAGGGAAGGTGAATTTGGGGACTGGAGAGATGGCTCAGCAGTTAAGAGCACTGGCTGTTCTTTTAGAGACCCTGGCTTTGGCTTCCACCACCCACATGGTGGCTAACAACTATCCTAACTCTAGTTCCAAGGGATCCCATGTCTTCTGATTTCCTTGAGGACTGAGTATTGCATGACACGAGTGCACTTACCCATGCAGGCAATATACTCATGCACATGAAATAAATAATAAATAAAATATTTAAAAAAGAAAAGGTGAATTTTGTCACATGTGAATTAAGTCTCAAAATTAACTTTAAGAAATAAACATGATCTTATTTTGTAATCTAAGTAGCTGTGTCTGAGTCACCTCAGTTGCATATGAAATCACGATTTATATTTTAAAAACTCTTTGACAACTTTGTAATGTATATAATTTATTTTGGCCATTTGCACCCCCAGCACCCTCTATTATACCCCTCCCATTCCTTCTGAATCCCTTCTCAACAAGCCCCAGTTCTACTTTCACATCACTTTTTGTTGTCTTGTATGTGACCTAATGTATTTTATCAGGGTTACTGGCATGAACAAGGTGGGGGTTATTTCCTGGAGCATGGGAAACCTACCAGTGGTTATACCACTGAAGAAAATGATGCTCCTTTCCCCTGTAACCATTAAGTACCCAAAGCTCCTCAGCTAGGGGTTGGGGGGGGTGTCTCATGAGCCCCTCCCTAATCCATGCAGGAATATTGATGGGGTTTGATCTTATGCAGGTCTTGTGCAAGTTAACCATGGTGCTGTGAATTCATGAGTTAAGCAATCATGTCATGTTCAGAAGACAGGGTTTCACAGCGCTTATAAAGAGGATTTCTAAAAAAGTTTTATTTATGTCTATTTTCTGTGTGTGAGTGTTTTGGCTGCATGTATATATGTATGTGCATCATGTGTGTACCTGATGCCCATGGAGGCCAGAAGGGGGCAGAAGATGGCATTGAATCCCCTGGAATTCAGTTAGTAATGGCTATGAGCTACTATGTGAGAGCTAGGAATCAAACCCAGGTCCCTTGTAAGAGCAACAAGTGCTCTTCACCACTGAGTCATCTCTCCAGCCCCATAAGGAGGATTCTTGATCCTATAAAGCTGGGCTTGATTCTATAAAGCTGGGCGTGGTGGCACACGCCTTTAATCCCAGCACTCGGGAGGCAGAGGTAGGCAGATATCTGTGAGTTCAAGGCCAGCCTGGTCTACATAGTAAGTTCCAGGACAGCTGGGGCTACAGGGAGACCCTGTCTCAAAAAGACCAAAAAAAAAAAAAAAAAAAAAAAAAAAAAAAAAAAAAAAAAAAGTGCTATAAAGCCAGTTTCAGTTTCATTAGAAGAAAAATAAAAAGTCTAGAGTTGTGGCTGTCTTTAGATGTGGTTTCATCTGGGTTCAGATTGTTTCCCTAATTTGGCTTTGTATCTCAGCCTTTCTTGTAGATTTATCCTCTACTCCAGGAGTAAGTGCAGCTCCTCTCTTTTTTGGTAGATTTAGCTCGGGTCCAAGGTTTAGGCTGGAATATTTCTTTCCTGGTGCCATTGTAGTGTGTAAGAGGCAGAAATACTCTGAATAGTCACACCTCCAACCCTGGGGATTCAGCTGGACCCCAGGGCCTAACAGGACTCAGGAGCAGGAAAGTGAGTGAGTTTTAAAAGGAAGTTGGAGTGGGGCTGCTCACCAGGTTAGGTATTCATTCTAGCTTACTTCTTTGTCACTTAGCACATATGTATTTAGAAGACATCTATTGAATGAAATCAAACCTGAACTAGAAATACCAGCTTCCAGGTCACCACCTGTAGGAAGGAATGACATAGTTTGGAAAGTGTGCAGGACAGGGAAGGCATACATACCCTGTCTACCTCAAGGTACTTAACTCCACATATAAAAAGTACATGCTCTGGGCTGGGGTTGAAGTTTGTGGTAGAGTGCTTGTCTAGCTTGAGCAAGGTTCTGGCTCAGTCTCCCATACTGTAAAAAACAAACTGAACCAAACCACCACTACCAACAACAAAGGTACATTCTCTAATGGTCATTTTGGCTGTCTCTTTCAAATTGGTGAAAATGTTCCAGATATTCTGAAAGTTTCAAATTAACTGAAAAGTCTCAACCTCTTGGTTTAATGACATTAACAACATTTAATGACATTTACTCTTAACAATCAGCTAAATGTATAGACTCCCGTTAAAAAAGTTTACACTATGACTATAATTTTCACAGACTTTTAGGAGTTCCTGGGTCCTCGGGATCCCCAGGTTGAACAGCTTTGTCCTGGCTGTATCCAGCAACCGGCTTTGTGTATTTCATTATTTTTCATTGTTTTCACATTTTTCTTCTTGGAACTACCTAGTCCCAGGGCTAGAGGGCATTGTGTAACCACAATGAAGCCTTCACAGTGCCTGAGCTCCTTGGATTTTCACACAAAAAGGCTTGTTCACTGCTCAGTTAACAAGTGAGTTCTTCCAGCTCCCAGGAGGGAATGAAGTCAGCCCCCTGTGAAGAAAAGGATGGGGCCAGGGGGGGAGAAGAACCGCCTAAATGTTTCCCTCATTTATATGTTGATGAAATGTCGACAATCTCCCTAGAGTTCAAGTGCCTGGTTTGGATTGATTTCCCAGCAAGGATCCTGGTGTGTTGGGGTATGCTGCAGACGAGACCCAGCCCTGTCTGTGGCTTCCTGTGGGATTTTTGGGAAGGTCCTTCCTTTCCTTGAGTCTCAGTGTTCTTATCAGTAAAACAAGGGATAGGATTAGGTACTCCCAAGCTAATCACTGTAATGTGATGCTTTTTCTGTTCAAAATTTTTAGGAGTGGTGAAGAAATGAGGAGACAAAAAATGTAACCAAGGAAGACTGTGGTTAGACTCAGGGGATCCAGTGAGGGCGTGGGCAAAACAGATCCAGCAAAGGATTTGGAGAACTGGAGAAAGTTCTTTCATAAGACTAAATGGTTTTTCTATGAATGTAGTCTGCTTAATCAAAAAGGAAAGTATTCCTCTAATAGTCTTCTTCCAACTTCCCAGATAACCCATTCTTCCCAGATAACCCAGATAACCCAACAACTTCCCAGATAACCCATTCTCTCTTTTAAAAAAATTGATTTCATGCATATGAGTGTTATGCTTGCATGTGTGTTTCCCAGATAACCCATTCTTCCCAGATAACCCAGATAACCCAACAACTTCCCAGATAACCCATTCTCTCTTTTAAAAAAATTGATTTCATGCATATGAGTGTTATGCTTGCATGTGTGTAAGTGCACCCATATTGTGCAATGTCTGTGAAGGACACAAGAAGGCATCAGATTCCCTGGAACTGGAGTTATGGACAGTTGTCAGCTGCCATGTGGATGTTGGGTCTTTTGCAAGAACAGCTAATGCTCTTAACCATAGAGCCACCTCTCCTGCCCCCTTTCTCTTAAGTGTAGATTCAATCTAGTGACTCATTTCTGACCAACAAGATAAAGCAGAGGTGACAGATGCCACTCTGGAG